TGTGAAGTATTCAACAATATTACAGATGAAAATAACACAATTCCTTAAAAATAAAAAATATTTTTAATTATAAAAAATAAAAATACAAAATAATAAAAAATAAACAGGGGGATGGTTTATTTTATTTATTTATTTATTTATTTATTTATTTTTATTTATTTATATAGAAATGAAATGAAATGAAATATAAATAAACCTTTATTTTGGACAACTGAAGGCTGTGTACAATCCGAAACAGTCCCCTCTCATGCATTATTTGTCTCTGGAGCCAATTTCCACTTTGTTAATGGAAGCAAGGGTAGAAACTGGGCGCTGGCATCAGACAGCCCCTCCTCAACTCGGGAGGTTTCAACCCTACTGGTTTCAATGCATGACAGCCTGAGAACCGTGGGTTTCTCAATTCCTCGGACTAGCAAGGCAGCCTCATTCAGAAGCTTTGATAGAAATCCAAGTACTAAGGTTCAAGAATAGCTGCAGGCTCCAAGCTTTGCTCCTAGTGGACCACTTATCCCGGCTTTGTTTGACAGGCAGCTTGTCAAGAGGCAGCTTGAGGGAACCCAGCATGAAGCTGGAATGAATTCCAGAACTAAGTCTGCAAATTCATTTCTGCCAGCCTGCAGCACCACATCACAATCCCCAACTTCCCAATGCTGCCAGTGCCCTGAGCAGCAAGATGGACTTGAGAGTACAGGTAGTCCTCACTTAATCACCACAATGGGGACCGTAAAAGTGGTTGTTAACTGGGGCAGTTGTTAAGCGAATCCGACCCAATTTTACAACCTTCTTGTGGCGGTCGTTAAGCGAATCACCATGTCATTAAGCGAATCACACAGTTCCCCAGATTTTGCTTGCCGAAAGCCAGCTGGGAAGGTTGTAAATGGCAATCACATGACCCTGGGACACTGCAACCATCATAAGTGCAAGCTGGTTGCCAAGCACCTGGATTGTGATCACATGACCACGGGGGTGCTGGGACGGTCATAATGGGCACAGGAGATAAGTCATTATTTTAGTACCGTTGTAGCTTCAAACAGTCACTAAACAAATGGTTGTTAAGCAAGGACTACCTGTACATTCACACTTCATGCATCCTGCTCTCTCTCAGGGATCATCGCCAACCTCCCCCTTTTATAGCTCACAATGCAAAAAGGATGGGCAAGCAAAGAGAGGGCAATCTGTACGGGGCACGATTCAGAACCAAATCACAGTTGCTGACTCTGAAAATACACCCATCCTCTCCTTTTAATTTATTGTTTGAAACTGGAAGTTTTCTGTATCCTTGTCTTGGTATTTCTCCAAACCCATCAAAAAATAGAGTCAACATTTGGCGAGAGGAAAAAAAACAGAAAAGCTGCTAGACAGTTCTTAATGCAAAACAGCAATAGCGTTTCACTCCACTCTTAAAATACCAAGCTGGTGCTGTGACTTCAATTATGCCCGTAATGGCCAACAAACAATAATGACTGTGCTATTATCCTCGGGCTGTGAGGATACTCTCGAAAATTTATCGTGACAATGTTCTGATTAGTTGGATGGAAACTGTCTTCCATCACGCTTAGAGCTGCAATAGGAGACTCTTCAAGAGACTGTAAAATGCAGAATGACGGGCTTAGACGGCATGTTCTCGCAACCGGAGCGTTCAGTTTTCACACATCAAGAAGCAGGCCTCACATGCTATGGATTTTTTCTTTCTTTCTTTCTTTCTTTCTTTCTTTCTTTCTTTCTTTCTTTCTTTCTTTCTTTCTTTCTTTCTTTCGTCACACACCGCCTCATACCCAACCAATATCATACAAAAGAAATGCCACCTGAGTGCTTTGTTCAATTTGTCCATATTAATATCTTGCTCGCAATTACAGGTCTGTGCCTATGATTAAATCAGAATCTAAAAGAGAGATCATAACACCTCCTAAGGTGGAATGCGAAGAGCATGGCCCACAAGCAGAGCTCCTCTAGAGTAAGTGGGGGGGGTTGATCTTTTCTTTTTGCATTGGGGGGGGTGGTAGTTCTATACGGACGAAACTGATCTCTTATGCCTTGTAGAGACTCAACACATCCATTTCACCCCTTAAGAGCGCTGCTCTTTCGCTCAAACCCAGCCTCACCCACTGTGGAGTGGACCCTTGACATGCCATGCAAAGCCTAGCCAGGTCCTCAAGCCAGTGGAAGTTGTGGACTCCAATGCTAAGCAATCTAGACCAATCTCTCCGAAAGCTATAGGAACCCAGCTCCACCCCTGGAGTCAGAGGCCAAGAATTTTTAAACAACATCAAGAGATGTGCTTCCACTAATGCTGACTGTAATTAAGGCCAACCATTATTGCTGGTGAGGAATCCAACAATTAATATACAGTCCAGTGATGCAAAAGCCTTAAAGAAGCCACACACACCTGGTCCTCTAGGTGTTACTGAACTGCATCTCCCATCATCCCTTCCTACTAGCCATGCTCATTAGAGCGTCCGGGAACTGGATTTTCAACTTCCACTGGCTTTAAAGATCTCAAAGTCCCTAAAGGAATACTGGCACAACAACGAAGTGGATGTGCCCTGAACTTTCCTAGGGGAAGGTCTAAACACTCCAACCAGGATATCCCTTTCCCCAGTTGCCATCCCTGTAAGGTAGTGGGGCAACTGGAGAAGAGCTTCCATCTCAAATTAGGCACCTGGGGTAGAAGTAAACACACAGCAAGTCTCCTGATGCTAAGCTATGGAGGCATTAAAGACAAGCACCAGGGCCTGAGTGAAACTGGCAAGCAGATAAGGATCCAAGCCAGCTATTGGTCCCAGGTAGCAACCAGGTGCTGCCTTCCAAACCAGCTGAAGCTTCCCTCCGTGGACCTGTCTCACCTTTCCGAAGGACCCGCTTCTTTGCTCGAATATCAGTCTCCAACTCGGCGGCTCTGATATAAATCCGGACCGACTGTGGAAGGTGACGGACTGCCTGAGCCACCACAGCCTTGGCGGTATCTCCAGGCTGCAAGCGTGCAGCCTCCAACCACACATCTTCACTCTGGAGAAAGGCAGGGTAAGAAAAGTCAATGACTGATTTGTTAAGGGATCCGGTCCTTTAAGGAGGACGTGGGAGGAAAATGAGAAGTATTCCTGTTATGATTATTAATTACATTGATAGACTTCCCAATCCATAAGGACTCTGGGTGGATTACAGATGAGATACATAAGAAGCAATATACAATAAACAAAAAGTATAAAAATAAAATAAATAGAACCCAAACTAACAGACACATACAATAATATTACATTATCCAAGCCAAAATGGGGTCAAGGCCCAAAGCCCTCCAAAAGAGCTATGTTTTCAGCAGTTTCCAGAAGGTGATCCAGGTGGGAGCCTGTCAGCCTTGCGAGGTAGACCAGACAGGAAACACAGCTAGATGAGCTAATTCTACTTTATTATAAGGCTACATTAACAGAATCTTGCAAATCTGAAAGTACAATTCTATCCCTGTCTCCTTTACAGCCCGAGAACTTAGGGAGGGTCCCTTCTGACCCTCTTTCTCCACCCATTATGAAGCTGCGGGCTGTGCTGTCTCTCATCTGACCATTCCGTTGGCAGTGTCTCTTCACCCCACCTCCCAAGGTCTTTCCCACGTACCATTACAGAGCCAAAGGACCACCCCAGCCACTGAAAAGCAGCACCTCTGAGCCATGACCTCACCTTCAAAAAGTGGGGCACCAGTATATATGGGCAGGGTAGTTTAAGGGAAAGAACAGGAAGCAATGAAGGGAACTAGAGAGTAGATGACAATGAACAGAAGGTTTTGAAGAAATACATGCAGGAAACCAGCTTGGGAGGACTAAACCAAGGAAATTTTGGCCCAGTTAAGAAGGTGTTGTAGTTAGACATAGGTCCAACTAAACCAACTTCAAATAAGTCTACCCTATTGCCTGCTCTCTAATAAGATATGCACTGCTTCTGAATATGGAGGATCCATTTAGTTGTCACAACCAACAAGCTGCAGTTAAAATTCTCTTCCTCTGCCTTCCACGAATTCTTCCATTTCCTTTTTAAACTTATTAACTTTGTGATCATCATCACATATTGTGACAGGATTCCACAAATCCATTATTTTGTGCCCCATTATGTCCTTGTCTGAACTGACTGCTAAAGAAATCAACTGGTCCCCACATCTGAGGAAAGGATAAATCTATTTTCTCCAAAATATTTAGAGTCTCCTAGATCTCATGTCTCCCCACCAGACCTGCCAAAAAAAGAGCCACGTATTGGAAAGTTGTCCTAAGTGGCATATATGGCACAGAAGGTGAAACCACAAATCACTTTTGCACTGAGACAGGGAAGAATGAATTCAAAGAGCTAACCAGGGTATTCAGTTTTCATCCCATTGCCTCTCACATGGACTCAGAGAATCTAAAAAGGTGACTGCAGCTAAGAGAAAGTGCCAAAAAATCCTTTGGTAGCTGTTGCTTTTCACCTTAGTGATGTACCAGAAACCCACTTGCTTCCTCCAAGGAGAAAAAAAGTGTCTTAAGGATCAAGAAAATTAAGCTTATGCAAAACTGAAGGGAAAGAGAAAATTAAATAAATAAACCCTCACCTTGGGACACATTTCGGTCCCTTTCATGATGAGATTTCGAGCTACCTGCAGTTTCCCCGTCACCTCTTCCAAGCGTGCTGAAGCTATCCAGGCTGGTGGGTGGTGAGGGTTAGTCTCTCGCACGGATTTTAGAAGTAAGCGTGCTTTCTTGATGTCACTAGCAAGGGAGAAAACACAGAGGCAAAAGCTTCATATCCTTCAGTGCCACCCCTATTTATTCCAAAATGTGTTGCAGGAATACAGAGAACGGACTTTCCCCTATAACATATTTGCACGACCAGTGTCAAACTGACAGGTGAGGCTAAGATAACCCCCAGCAAATGCGAGGCTGTCAGGAAAAGAAAAGGAGTTAAGATGTTCTAGGGCTGGGAGATAAAAAAGAGAGAACTGTCTTTCAGGAACAAAAAGAGATCAGCGGGAACGGAGCATGCGCGTAGTTATCAACGAATTGAAACAGTGGCCTCTCCTCGATCTGCACATTACTCTTATCTAGCTGACGATGAATGTATACATTTCACAAACACGTTCTCTTGGAGGCAAACAACTCAAGCAATGGCAATTTGATGAGGCCTCTTATGGTGCTTCCAACACTGACTTTTTGGAATACTTTATAGTAGGGATGAGAGCCAATTTGATGTAATGGTTCAGGCATGAGGCTAGAAACCGGGAGATTGAGTTGTAGTCCTGCCAAGGCACAAAGCCAGCTGGGTGACCTTGGGCCAGTCCCTGTCTCTCAGCCCTGGGAAGGAGGCAATGACAAACCACCTCTGAAAAACCTTGCCAAGAAAACTACAGGGACTTGTCCGAGAATCGGACACGACTGAACAGATAAAATAAATAAATACTAGGGATAGTGTAGGTGGGATAGATACAAAGACAGGGAAAGTGTAAATCAGTGTTTTTCAACTTGGCAACTTGAAGTTATGTGGACTTCAACTCCCAGAATTGCTGGGTGGGGAATTCTGGGAGTTGAAGTCCACACATCTTCCAGTTGCCAAGTTGAAAAACACTGGGGTAGATAAACGGAGAACCAGTTTCATGTAGTCGCTAACATGCTGGCCTAGAAACTGGGACACCATGAGTCTGAGTTTTCCCTTAAGCACGGAAGCCAGGTAGGTGACTGTATTCCTTCTCTCTCAGCCAAAACCCAGGGGAACACTAGGTTTAGTTGAGGGGAAAACAGGAGATCAGAGCATTACATACACCACCTTATACAAAAGAAAGGTGGGGTATAAATCTAATAATAATAATGGGGAGGTATAGCAGTTCAGGCCCAAAGGTGAAAAGGAGGTTTGAAGTGAATGTGGGTATATACACTACACCTCTCAAACCACCTTTGAAGATGTTGTGTCTTTTCCTAGGCTGGCACAGTAGCGGCACGATCTCAGGTTTATTTATTCATTCTTTCTTTCTACTTGCATACCACCGAATCAGCACAGACCCATGGAGGTTTACAAAATGATCAGCAAAAACATCAGTAACCTTTAAAACATTCACAGTAAACAAAAACAAAGCAACCAATAACTAGTCAAAGTTACAGCAATGGAAGGGTAGAAATAATGAATTAAAAAAAAAAAAACCTAAGAAAACCAAATACTGTCAACAGTTAAATTGATGTCACACATTCAAAGGGAGATAAATTGAAGAGGACCAGAAGAAACTATTCAGCCAAATGCTCTTTGGAAAAATTCCATCTTCAGTAGCTTCTGGAGTGTTAGAAGGGATGGAGGAAGCCTTTGGCCTAAAGCAGTTTTTCTCAACCTTAGCAACTTTTAAAATATGTGGACTTCAACTTCCAGAATTCCCCAGCCAGCCATGCTGGCTGGGGAATTCTGGGA